GTTTAAAAAACTAAGTCAAAGTCTAAATCGATATGCTGTAATGAAACAAATGCATGGTGCCATTAGCGAAGTATATATCTTAACTACAGAAACCTACTGCTAATTTATTCCGCTAGAAAATCGATTTTCACCGCCTAAGTGATCAGCCTCCCTGCATTACTCCCAATCAAACAAGGTTTGGTGGCAAGCTCGACTTCACCCTCGCTTTACAAGTTATTTAAGGTAAATGATTAAAATCGTCTTTCTGCGTTTGTTTTGTGTAGCAACGGATATCAACAAACAAACCGAGTTTCTAACTTTTCTTAGCAGCAAACGGTTTTGTTAAAGAAATGAAAAAGCTTCGCTAAATAGTGGCTTTTATAATTCATTGTATAACTGTAACTGATAAATTACTTTCATCCTGCGAGAGTTTTACAAAAAATCCCAGCCATGACCTGAGCCCTTTCACTTGTAAAGTAAATCCTTGGATTTCAAAACTGCTTTCGCTTAGCTGACCTGAATGATGATGTTAACTGTTAATTTGACATAGAGGTCAAAAGCTTCACGCCTAAGCTGCAAAAATTGTATATTAAGCGGTCATAGCGAAAGAAGAGCTGCCGTTTTGAACCGAACAGCAAATCAGTTTGAGTCCATATCAGCATAGACAAATTACCACAATGGAGGTAACATAAGACTCAGAAACAAGACGTGTGAGGTGGAACCGTAAGCAGTGTCACACAAGAATAATACAACAAACAAAATATCAAAAAGTTATGGTACACAATTTCCATCGTTTTCAATTTTGTGATAAAGCTTACCGAAAGATGACCTTCGTGATGATCAGGGAAATGCTTGTAAAGGTACTCTGATGTAACCAGCTGCAGAACAGTATCTCCAAGAAATTCGAGACGTTGATTATGGCCACTAAACGAGAAAATGTTTCCGTCGTTAATGATTTTCAAACAACGAAAAATTATTAAGGTTCCAATTCAGTGAAGTGAGTTCGGAGAGGTTTGTCGTGGTGTGATTGAAACCGAACAAACAAAAATCAATAATATGAATAATTTAATCAGTATACCCGGCTATATGGCATGCACTCCTGGTTCTAATTGGCTGAGGATCGATTTACGTAAGGCGCCGAGGTACCATAGGTGCATATACCTCGTGGGATTTTCGTAGAACCAGATCAATAACTCTTCCCAACATTCAAGCGGAAAAACGTGAATAAAGACTTTCAAGAACGAAAAGCCAGACTATAAAATAGAACTGACGATGAGCGACGAATCGGTCTAATGCATAGTTTAGGTGAAATAGATCCATATTATATTCCAGACGGCGCTTAAATACCATTGATCTGTGGTCTGTAAGCGGTGACTTAAAATTCAAGGATAAGAAATGGGATGATAATTCATTGAATTACGATAAGTACTACTTCTATTGTACATTAAACTGATTTAACAAACATGTTCCCCGACTACACACTATTAGAAATTGCAATTTCTACGTTTCAAACCTGAAGTTACAAATTTCACTCAAGGACAGTAGATAACGATACAAGCATTTTTCCGCTTACCATTACGGCTGGGTAATTTAAGCCATCCACGTAATAAAGGAAACTAGATGTAAATGCGAATTTTGGCTTTTGTTCTTTCTACTTCGATTTCTCATTTTATTCAAAGGAGCAAACATCTGTCAGCTCAACGTTTTTCAATCATATATGCTCCGTTCAGTTAAACGTGATGTTCAAAATCAAGGTTTTCGAGTTCTTCACAAAACACAGAATCTCTTGAATCTATCTATATAAGAAATTGAACTTCTTGGCTATGCCAAGTCCAAAGTGGAATTGTCTATTAGATCAACTGCAGAAAATGTCATTGGATTCCACCAAAAAACAGATTTTTTAGATCATAGATAACAGAACAATAAGGATGCCATTAGAAACCATCCAGGACCTTCTTGAATTGAAGGACATTCTACAGAACGCCAACATAATTGCAGTAATAAATGAACACAGCGGAGAGACCTATATATATATAACTTTATCACCGCAGCTGTAATAGTATCACTGCAAGATTAACCTCGATGACGGTTGCTGTGAGGGGAGGCTTCAAGAATAAAAGAAATAATCTTTACTGCGTTTAAAGCCATTAGGAAAAGGAGGCAGAATTGCATAAACTACTGTTTACTTTAAGTAGCCCCATGTTGAAAAGCCGAATTTTGATAATTCTTCGTAGATCTAATTACGAATCCTGTGCTGGTCACGTCACAAAAATCAGTGATTCAGACTGCTAAATTGGACCTATTTAAACGCCAACTGACAAACATAGGATTTTGCCACAAACGTAGAAAGTCGTTCGTCAACATACAGAGTTAGAAAATTGTAGCCAACACTTTTCCTCGTCAGTGCTCTGGCCAATAGCCGGATGTGAGTGAAATAAATTCCGGTTTGCTTCTCAAACTCGGTCAGCAGTTTCAGCACGTCCACCTTGTCGATCCAGTGACGATCGCCACCTGGCTCTTGTTCCTGGAGAAATCGTTCATCATAGTGCATCGAATGTTTAGAAAGAAAAACCTACCTGAAGCTGATGCTTAGGCAAATGGAACCAGACATAGTGCATTTCCGGCTCGTCTTTAACACTAAACAACGTCTCGCCATAAATCCGGTCGACTACGTCGATGCCCCCATCTAGGAACAGCGCCCCCATCACGGCCTCAAAAGCGTTCGCCATTGCGTGTTTCATGTCCGACTCATGACACAAGTCTGGACCATGGGCATAGAGCATAAACTGATCCAAACATAACTTCTACAAGCAAAAATCAGTTATACATAAAGATCAAAGTTAAAAGTTGTGCTGCGTACATCGCATGATAAGGCCAAACTTAAAAAATAACAATCACAGGAAACAAAATAAGCAATAACAGATAATTTGTAAAGTTGTTACCTGGCACTGATAACAAAAGCAAGCCAGTTGTCGCAAATAGGAAAATGTCGAGAGCTCTAACTGGATAATGATGAAACTGTTAAATCACAATTCCCAGCATTTTGAATCACAAGAAAGACTGAATCCCCATTCCGGAAATTCATGCTCAGCTGGGTATCACCGAATTTCTTCACAGTTTAGTGAGTGCAAATATCGCAACATACTTGGATCAGGTGCGTAGAATTCGTAACATACAGAGATATTTTGGGCGTAACAAATTTTTTGACAGGTCTTGAAGACATAACGCAATTACATTTGCCAGTCCGACATCTCGCACGTGAGAAGTGTCATCAACACTCATCTAAGCTACTATGCACACGTCATGCAATTTAAATATTTGAAGGTCGTTAGCCACTAAAAGGCAATTCATGTGATGAGTGGCCATAAGCAATAAATGTGCATGAAAGCACTTTCGGATATAAGCATACCAGTCACTCATCTAAATCTGAAGATAAAGCTAGTCACTTAGCTGCCCTTTGGTTAACGGTTAACGTGTTACACATGCTGCTAGAAAAGTAAATAGCAGATTTCCACTCCGGGAAACTGCTTCTGTGATTGAAATGGAAAGTGCATGCTCAGGGTACTACATGGCGGAGAGATGTAGAATTTAAGCTTGCAAACCATTTGCAAACTGCAGACTACGAATCTCACAGTAGAAACGTATATGGTAAGAATAACAAGAAAAAATAGGAAAACGAACAATCGGGTAAGGGCACAAACAAATGTATGCGATGTCATTGCTCGAGTGAAGAAATTAAAGCGGTAATGGATATGGCACGTTCCAAAAAAACGATCATCGCTGGATTAGACAGAGACTATACTGAATTCCGAGAGACAGCAAACGGCCTATAGAAAGACTCTTAGTTCAATGGCAGGATGATCTAAAGAAATTCGTTGGATCAAGGACACAATTCACAGAAAACAGAAGTTTGTGGCAAGGTCTTGGAGGCTTTAATCTAGAAGTGGATCGTAAAGGTTGATAATGATGGTGAAAATAGAAAAGAAAATAAATAGCTTGAAAACCACGCATTTTTTGAGCCATGCAGAATAAAACAAGCGTCATCATATGAAGAAAAAAATTTACTTTTGCCAGCACGGAAAGATGTTTGTTCTGCACCAAGGATGAACGATATGTGGCAAGTCCGCCTTCCTCAAGATTCGGAAACATGAAGAACAGATGCACTCTGAAAGCAGAAGTTACTGTAAATGATTAATATAAGAAATCGAAATTGTGAAAATAAACCGAAAAAACAATATGCCAATATAATCTTAGAATGTTAAATTTGCTGCCGTGGAGATTTCGACCAACTTATCAGTCATATTCGTATATTTTTTTCTGTGTGCGAAGTACTGAAAATTGAGGCTTTTGTTTTAATATAAACAGGTAATAAACAATATGAATCTGCAGTGAATTTGAATGAGCCCATGCAGAAACGAGCGATGAGTATGTCATCCGCGATAGAATCATACCGACGAATGACAACAAAACGTAAGCAAGTTCCAAAAAACAAAATTAACCATGAAATTTTCAAGGAGCCTTGCATTTCGCTATTCAGTCATACCAATGGCAGTTTCTATGCAATTTCAAGTAATTCACTTCTATACAATTTATTTCGATCCGTAACCTAGGCTATTGACACAGGAGGTGATGCGAAAACTCCCTGCGAATCCGGAGTGGCAAATGATTGAATTTTATATTTATTTTTCGATTTTAATTTCCACGATTTTATTTTAAGGTAATGCAAAAAACATTTATACGTACGTGGAAAGAAATTCGACTACGGCGTCGCCCAAAAACTCAAGCCGCTCGTTATTCGACACTTGAGATTGCTTCACTTTCTTGGATCCCAATCGAGACATGATGTCAATCAGAGTGTTAATGCCTTCAAGGAACAGACATCAACTAATAAGCTAACAACAGCGATTAATCAGCATCTTATAAAGTTCAGTCGAGAATATTTTTAATTCAGAGAAACAAAATTTTGTGATAGATTTTACTTCCTCTGCTGACCCGGTTAATAAAAACAGACAGGACAAGATGACAGTTGATGCAAAAGGAGAAAGTTTGTTGGTTTTAAATCACCTCTTTGAGATCTAACCTCTTAAAAACAAATAAGCGCTTATTAAAATCAATATAAACGTAACCACCATTTTCAGACAGGCAACAAGCACACTTGTGTTATTTGATCCTATAAGAAGAATCTAAAATAATTGCTGAAATTGGTCGTTTGTAATCTATCCCGAAAAAAGTGGCCAAAACCGGCTCTCTGAGGCAAATCGCTGGTTTCATCCATGGCGATCTCTCTCATGAAGAGCAGTACAGATATCAGAGAGCCTTGGTGTAGGCCGTTGCTTCCTCCGAATGAGAAATCACAGCTGCAGTGGTTTGGCAACGTATTGTGAATGCCTTCAGAAAGAATGGCGAGACAGCTAACTTGCTAAACCGACCGGTGGAAGACCACTGGAACGCCAAGAACAACTTGGGCCAAGTGTATCGAAAGACTCTGTTGCGGAATCGAGTTATCTACTGCCGAAGCTCAAACTCTAACAAAGATTGGGGTGATAGAAATTGATCAACTGAGTCGACTCTAATCTCTGTATGATAGAAGAACGAGTTTTGAACAATTGGCATGTTAGCCTCGATTGCATATCCATAAAAAGCATAATCTTTTCCACCAAGCTCAAGTTTTTTTCACAAAGCTGATGATGTGCGCCGATTTCGGTTTCGATTCTACTAGCTATGAGTTTTCAGTTTCGTAGGAGCTATCCGCAAATAATGAGCACTAAATTGCGCACTCTCCAGCTTTCTTACAATGTAGTGGAAGCCGCTTGCCAGCCCAACTGAATGAGTCATGTTTCATCATAATCATAACATAGTCACCACCATCACGATCCTGATCATAATCATCATCGGCCACCTTTAATCCTTTGCAGGATGATTTGCAGTCTGTTCAAGATTTTCCCAAATAATTCTGTTTTTTTGTGATTCTCACTCACTTAGCTCCGCCAAATTTTATCCACAGGTCTTCTCACCAACTATAATTAGTTTCTGCAAATCAGTCCGATCACGAACTTAACAGCGAGTCATAGAAAATATGCCCAAGACGGTTTCACTTCCTCTCGTTAC